CAGCACAGAAATGAGTAAAATGTGGTGGTGTTTTTGTTTTTGTTCCCTGGGGCTCACAATGCACAGCCTGTTAAATTTGAAAGTCAGATGTGCAGTGAGGGGGATCTAAATGGGTCAGGGAAGCAAACCCAGTATCTCTGCACTTTACAGCATGAATAAGTCTCTTGAGATTTAGAAGGTCAGAAGTTCATTTTTTTTATTTTTTATTTTTTTTTCTTCCTAACCAGTGAAGTCTTGGGCTTAAGCCAAAAGAGCAGTGGGTTAGGGGCAGTAGAGGGATCCCGTGTGAAAAGTGTGTGTCATAGCTGGCCTCCTTCCCCAGAGCGTGTTTGGAAGGCTTCCTGCTTCTCCCAAGGGGAAATCTTGCTGCACTGCTTGGTGTTGATGGGAGCTGCTGTTGCTGCTCTTGGTGAACTCATTGCCAGCTTCCCTGGGAAGCTTCCTATGTTTTGAGCTACTTGTGGACTCAAGAAGCTAAAGACTGAGGAAAAACCTGGCCTTAGCGTTTGGTTCATTTCACTCACTCTTCTCCACAGCACACCTTTTCCTGGCTACTTGCCTCTGCGGTCTGTAGATTCTGGCTTCCCTCTAGTTGTGTGCAGAACTTGATGGCTCCAAGGAGGTGGGACTCTCTGCCAGGCACTTTCCCAGCATTGTCCACTATAGCAAATTCTGGTCAGCCTTGTAGAGTGGTGAGATGGAGAACAGGTGACCCCTTCATTAGCTGACTCCTGCTTCGTTGTTGATCATACAAATAACACTTGCTTAGACTTCAGTGCTGCTTGTTTCTTCTGGGGTGCTCAGGAGGGTTGAAGCTTTGATATGGTCAGCTCTGCAGAGGAGCCCTCTACTCACTGCAGAGAAACTGAGGACCATCTTTCCAAAGTGGCCATCACCCAGGACAGATCCACAGATGCAGGCTGCAGGGCCATAGGGCTTCTGGACATAAAGATTGCCATGGCCTTGGATGGCAGAAGGTGCATTATTTTGTGTCCAGCAGTGCTGTGTGCAGGCAAGCAAATGACTGATCTGGAGGGCTGTGATGCACACTCCACAGTCTGTTGTGTTTGAGGTGGCTCTCTAGGATGCTGTGGTATCAAAGCTGAAAACTCCCCAATTTATGCTTCTAAAACTTATATTTAGAGATCACCTAGGAAACAAAACTGTTTTTCCCACCCCCCCTCCTCTCCGGAGGCGCTGAGCAGACAATTTCCCACCAGCTGCCTTGGGATATGTTGATGCTCAGCAGTTTTGAAAATCTAGTCATCCTAACCTAGATGCCTAAGGTCATTTTTGTGAAGGGAGGAGGGCTCTTACGTGCACGCAGGGGAGGGGTGAATCTTGTTTCCTATCCTCTTGTCACTATCACTGCTGGTGAGGTGGAAGCATGCATAGACTTTCCACTCCCTCTAGAGCTTGTCTCTTCCTAGTCAGATCAGGACTGGTTGCTGGGAGGGCCTGGACTTTTTTTTTTTTGGGGGGGGAAAGCCCGCCCCAAAAGCATTCCTTCTCTAGTTTTAGTGTAGACACCCACTTGGTAATCCTGTGGCCAAGGACTGCAGGCAGCCATGTGTTCTTGAAGTGTCCTGTGCTGCCTCCTACCTGCCTCTGTCAGTGGTGACTTCTGGAGTATTGAGGGCTGGAGAGGCACAAGGGTGAAATCAAGTCTGCATTTTTAAGGAGATAGTATTACAAAGTACAATAGCAGAGTTAACAAAAGTATTCTCTGTTGAAAGTACAAGTCCTTCCTTTATTTCTTTCTCTCTCTTCTTTCTCTTTTTTTCTAACATGAAATGAGATAAAACTGTTATCAAATATGCCATCAAAGGGATAAAGGGCTTTGTAAAAATCTGAGGTATTTGAAGCTCTGCCAGTGGCTGTAGTGCTTTTGTTGCAGATTTTGATTTTTTTTCAGAAAAGTCAGGTTCATCAAGGATTTTTTTTTTTTTTTTTTAAACTAGCCCCCTACCCTGTTCCCAGTAATTCGAGTGCCTTGAATCTGTAGATATGTGTATGTGTATAAAATGATGTGAAAACTGAACATGTTCTTTCTAAAATACCTTCTTTTCATAGGGTTGGGAAGGGAAATCTGTGTGTAGAGGGTGGGTTTAGGGAGGTGGGGACCCTGGGAGAAGTTTCTTAAGCTTGCTTGCATCTTAGTAAAAGAAATGCTTCTATTTTTTTTTTGCTGAATGTAATTGAGCACTGGAATCCTAGAGCAGCAGCAGCAGAACTCCAGTGCAGCCTTTGAAATGTATAAAACTCAGAGAACTTCAGACACTCTAGTTCCCAAGACTGGAATTTTTGGAATAAACTCTTGCATATCTCCATGCACAAATACACATTTTGAGATTGTGATGATAGTCTGTTTGCAATTATCCAGCCTACCTCCCAGCTTTAACTTCCACAGGACACAGCTTTTTATGCTAGCCATTGTGACTTTCAAATGGCATTTGAACAAAAGAATATCTAATGTGGCAAAGCTCTTATTTGTGCTAAAATTGTGTACACAAATCATTCTAGGCATTTTGAAAGCTGTACAGATAAAGTAGTAAACTTAATGAGTCAACTCAAATCTGATGCTGAAATTTCAGAACTTAAAAAAAAAATATTTAGATGGGTGAATACTGTTGACTTTAGCAAAAGCTTGAGACTGGCATTGGATTTACCAACGTGCCTAATCATGTGAGTTGTCTTTGAATACAGCCAACCAAAAATTACAGTAAAAGCAATAGGAGCTAAACCAAAATGTTAATCATATAATGCACTTGAATAAAAATTCATGCTCATCGTTGAATATGTATTGTTTGTCTTCTACTGTCTGAGGGAGGCTTTCCTTGGATGTTCCAGTTTGAGTCAGTAACATTAAGAAGTCTTGTTGCCTTGACTACTTTAAAAAATTAAAAAAATATATATTTTCCCATGTCAAGCTGCCCCCCCCTTATGTCATTTGTGAAAAATCCTTATGTTGCGCTAGAGGTCTTGATTCATCGTGTAGGAGAGGAAGAGAAGAGAACAGTGTGCTTTAAATGGTTTGTGAGGTTTGGTTTGTAGTTGTAATGTAGATTTGAAGTGTCAGAGTCTTATTAATAACTTATGCGGTTTGCTCTTGTCAGTTTTGATACGTACCCCTGTGAGTAATGGGTATGGAGATGGTGGGTCATAAATTAATGGAAGTGATGGGAGGTTTGAGTAAGTTGCTAGGAAACAGGGCAGCAGAGCAGCATAAAGGAACTAGAGTGCATCAGAAAGCTGCCCCTGCAGTAGCAAGCAATCCGTCAGTAAATTGAAACAATAGTGATGATGACTTAAAAACAAAAAAAACCCCAAACCAAAAAACAAATAACCCCTCCCCCCCCCAAAAAAAAACCCCAAAACAAAACCAAAAAACAACAAACACATAAGCTTGCTTGCTTCTTGCATTCGTTTTGATGCTTCAGTGACTTTCTTGACAGGCAAACTTGGCTTATGAAGCCATATAGAAAAGTATGGAACAAAAGAATTTCCATGTTCTACTTGTCAAAGTCTGTCTCAACACGTTTTGTTTCATGGTAGACACATGCTCTTCTCTGACATAAATCAAATCTCTTGCCTTCCTTAAAGAATCCAGAGTGCCATGTGTGCTGTCCCTTCAGGGAGCTGTGCATGAATTAACTAAGCAAAGCTTAGCACTAAACTTTGCTTTTATGTAAAGAAAGATCTTTTTGGGGTTTGGCGAGACTGTAAGAAGGAGGTCAAACTTGGCAGTTCCTTTGGTATGCATAGCTCCAATTTCAAATGGCTTGTTTATCCTGAAATTATGATCCTTGCAATTATTTAATATAGGGGCCAATTGCACCAACACACCAGGAAACTACTGAGGTGGAAAAAACCCTCCAGCACCTAAATGACTTTAGCATAAAATATGATTAAAAAGAGTTCTGGACATCTTATTTTAACCTTACTCTAAAAAAAAAAAAAATAATATAGTCAGCCTTTCCCATTTTTAATGACAAATCTTGCTGCTACTGGTTCCTGAAGACATAAAATATCTTTTCTGGGAAGGGATTGTTTTTTCTGGTTAGAAAAAGATAATGAAAGAGCTTTAGTGGTTTTTTTTAAGGTTTATGAACTTTTTCACCCCCTGTCTTGACAAAAGGGGCTTCCAAAACACTAATTTGCAGCTGATATTAAAGTAACAGCCTTTTGAATCTGAGAGAAAAATATCACTTCACTCAACTGCTTTTTTTTCTTTTTTTAATAAAAAAAAATACAGGTCACAGTCATAAAACTAAAGCTTGTTTTTTGATTTTTGTTTTTTTTTTTTTCCCCTCCCTCCAGTTAACTTTTTGAAAACTTGTAGAAGCAAATGCTAGATATTATTCAAGCTTTTCTTAAAGAATTCCTGATAAGCCATCTTGGAGCACGGGCAGATCAGAAGAAATTTTTATAATAACAAAATGCATATTAATCAAATCCACACTGTCATTTATTGTTGACTAATAAGTTAAGAATAAATCTCCAGCACTCAAAGCACAATATTTTGCCTAGGATTACTGTCCAAAATGGAGCTGAGAGTATTAAGTGACATCTGAAGCATAATTAGCATCCACAAGGCTGGTTTTTCCCAGGACTGCAGAGAAGTGATGCATCCATTCAGAGCTTTTGGACTTTTTACATGTTCTTAAGAGTTATTTATGTTTCAATCAGTTCAGAATGTCATCTTCCTGGTAAATCCATTTGATTATATTACCATAATATGTCTAAAAATAAATACTCATCCTGCCTGCTCCCAGAATTTTTGTTCTTGTTATCATAAAGGCCTGCTCCAGTTTAACTGCAGTGGCAGCTGGATTGGGCCTGGCATTGAAGCTTATTCCT